GATAGCCTCTTTAATAAATGGTGTTGGAAAAACTGGATGTCAACCTGCCACAGATTAAAATTAGACCCTTATCTTTTGCCATGCACTAAATTAAAATCCAAATGGATTAAAGATCTAAATATTAAAACAGAAACATTAAACTTGCTGGAAGGTAAGTTAGGCAGAACTCTGGAAGACATTGGTATAGGAAAAGACTTTATGAACAAATCCTCAGTAGCACGGGAACTAGCAGATAGAATCAACAACTGGGATCGCATCTTACTAAAAAGCTTCTGTACTTCAAAAGAAACCATCAGCAGACCTAAGAGACAATCAACAATGTGGGAAAAAATTTTTACCAGCTGTTCCTCAGACAAAGGCCTATTTTCTTTTTCTTTTTTTTTTTAAATTGAGCAATCAATCATATACCTGTAATGTACCCTGTTCAAAGTATAGATTTGAGAAGTTTTCAGTATATTCATAAACTGCATGACTGTTGCCATGACTAAATTCCAAAACATTCTCATCCTCCCAGAGAGACATCCCCTATCCTTTAGTGCATACTCCTTACTCTCCTCTGCCCCCAGCCCTGAAAACCAGTAATCTACTGTCTGTATTTCACGAGTTGCCTATTCGGGACACTTCATTCATATCGGTGAAATCACACAATATGGGACCTTTTGTGCCTGACTACTTTTCGATAGCATAAAGCTTTCAAAATTTATCCATGTTCGTACATGTTATAGAATATAGTGCTACTTCATCCTTTGTACGACTGATTAACCCCCATTGGAGCGTGTCGTATCTCATTTATCATTTGAGGGAAGTTTGAGTTGATTCTGCTTTGGGACTTTTTAAAAATAATGCAGCTATGAACATTTGTGCCTGAGTTTTTGTGTGGACATTGGATTTCAGTTTTCTTGGGTGTGTATCTGGGAATGGAATTCCTGGATCATAGGGTAATTTTATGCTCAGTATTTTCAGGAATCGCTAAAGTGTTTCCCGAAGTACTCAGACCCTTAGTGTGCATAGCAACACTTACGATGGTCCCCATTGTTCCATACCCTGTGCAACACCTGTTACTGCCTATCATTGTTATGATAAGCACCCTAGCGGATTCAGAGTGGTTACTTCTTTCTTAGTCCCTTTTGGATGCAACTTCCTCTGGGGAATGCTTCAGAATATCCTGAACACCTCCCCTCCTACATAGTTCCCTAGAACTCTGTGTTCATCTTTGTGTCCTCACTAATCACACCGAATCACCATAGTCTGTTAGCTTTATCTCTTTCACTGGAGAGCAAGCCTGTTAGAAAGGGTATGGAAATATTTCCTCTGGTATCTTCCAAGCTCCTACATTACCTGGCAATTATTTTGATCTCTTCTTTATCTTTTGATTTTTTTCCCCTAGATGGAGGGGGATTTATAGACTAGACTTGATAGCATTAGTATCTGAACATAAAAATGAGACTGTTTGTTCATTGATACATGGATGTTAGGGGGAGAAGACTACTTTTTAGCTTGTGTGGTTGACTTTCTATAAAGTTATGTTTTCTCTATGGTTGTACTAATAGAGCATGTCTCTTAATTCACCAAGAAGTTGGAAGGAAAGCAGTACAGTTATAAAATATCACTGTACAGAAAAAAACTCCTAAGTGACTTAAAAAAATATAAATCAAGTAGCGATCTTGCTATTAGTCTTTTAAAAGCAAGCTTGATTGAGAAGTACATGTTCCTTAAAAAATAATACCAGGTACATATTCTAGACTGAAAAAAAAATTTCAAATATGGAGAGAAGTCAAGGTCAGGATCTGGAAGTCTCTGGACTGTCGAAAGTCATATCTGGTTCAAATGGTGCTTTATTATATGTATCAGAAATCTGAGATTCATTAGCATCAGAGTTGAACAGAGAGGGGTCAGTGCTGGAGAGCAAAAGTTGAAAGTTGAATTAAACATAAAGACTGAAAATATAAGTTTGAATTAGAAAGTACATCCAACTTGAAGGTTGACTCATACTAAATCGTAATACCCCTATGCATTGGTACAGACTAAAAGACATGTTTTAATTGGTTATTTTGAATGTTTTTCCCCCAAAGTATATGTCTTTGTCATCAATATTTAGATAATTTTGTTTCTTCTTATTATTTATATTCCCATACAGGTTTGTTTTAGCATGCTACAGTTTTCCTCATTGGAATAGGCTATGTTTGGACTTGATAGCCAGTCCCTTATTTGAGAGCATTTCCAGGCTGTTCTTGGAAATTCTACCCAGTTTCTTTGCTGGGAGCTTTATGTGCCTGTGGAAGGGTGAGGAAGTGGGGGAGGGAAAGACAGAGAAGCAAATGTGAGTTGCACCCAGATCCCTGTGATAGCATCAGATGGGGCCAAAATGAACTTGGCGAGTGCTTTTCTCATGTTTCCCACTTGAGCGGCGCATATTGTTACTTGGAATGCCACTTGCATTTCTTTCATTCTTGTAAGATTTTTCTTCAGCTTCAGTAACAAACTTTAACTTTAAATAGGAGCCAGGAATGAATATTGAGAATTTTTAAAAATGTGTGAATGTGCTTAGAATGGAAATTTTGCCTTGAAGGTTTGGTTGGAAGAGGATGTTAATAGATGGCTTTTAAACATAGAAATCAAAGTGGGGTGGGCAGAGATAACGTGCAGGTTAAACCATCTCCAGAGATCTGGGTTTTAGTCCTCACT